TAAATAAATAACTTGAAAAACAGCAAATACATTTGATAAAGTCCCTTGATAAGGTTGCACTGGTACTGGCTGATATAAAATTAATCAATTTGGACTATTTAATTATATAAAGTATTTCACCTATTGCAGGTTTAATGGTTTGGTTTATTTCTCTATGTCAGATTTTCAGGAAATTGAATTTGAACTCGTGGCCAATAAAAAAATGATGGAAACAAAGTGAAGCTGTTTCCAATTTATGTATGTTCATAACATCGTTCTTATGTTGATTTACACGTTTGCCAAGCTTTACAGAGTTTTTTTTACTATTTATGGCTCTGCAACACAGGCAATTGGTCAGTGAGTCAACTTCAGTGCTCGCGAATCCCTAGATAAAATTAAATAAATTTAAATAATAAATAAAATAAAAAAATAAATGACGAGTGAAAAATCATTTCGATAACTATAATTTCAAGCCCGTTCAGACGACATGTTTCCAAGAGGCGGGAAATCTTTCTTGCCACAAATTGAAGCTAGGTTGGATGGAACACGATATTGTTCATATGAAAAAGAGAAGAAAAATAGTGTTCTAAATAAACCATATAAAATTTGCGAATTGACTGAATGGATAAGACAATCAAGAAGACGTAATTCAGGTCATCGATCAGGTGAGCAGTAATGGTTACTTCTTAAGCACAAAGTAGTGACTTCTTTCCTCTTTAGTGTTCACTTTATAAAGCAATGCTTAGTAGGAGACGTATCAAAGTGGGAACGAAAATAAGTAGGACCATGATCTTACATGCTAAACTCAAAGTATCATTTTTAACTAGTGGTAAGACCGCACTAAAATATAATTAAAAATATAATGGACTTTACAATTAAAATTAGTTAACTGATCTTGAAGGGAACTTTGGAAATCTGAAAAAATAATGACTTTGCTGATGTTATTGAAATCAATCCAATAGGGTTTTCTGAGCAATCCGAATGTCGTTTCTAGCGCAGAAAACTCGTGCCATCATCAGCAGGTTAAAGTTTCGCAAGCGCAAGGCAGTTCTTCCCCCTTAAAATCCCGTAATGAGTCATGGTTGCTATTAATGAATAACAGCGGACAAATTTCGGACAGAAATTGGTAGATAATTTTCTTTTTAGTTTTGATTAGTTTCAACATGGGACTAGGGAATCATCAAATTCAGTGCATCACGAGCGACACTTTCTCCGAACCCGTCGTAGGTGGCAACGCCGCATCCTTTAAAATAGATGCTCGCACTCGTGCGCCGACCAAATTGAAAACAAACCGGCCCAAACCATAAATCACGTGGCGGAGACTGTTTCAAAATAAAACATATTATAAAGTAATTAAGTTTTTCCTGTATAAAATAATATTCTCTCGGTAATTGTCTTTTAGTCCGTTAATTTAAAAGCCAAACGTGCAATCCCGAACCGTTTTTTTTTCTCCTTCTTCGTCCGTCCGTTATCCATATATCATCACGCGCGGCTCTCCGTGTCCGTCGCCCGAGTGAGTGAGTGCGAGTGTTATTCGTTTCCTCCGGCTGGACACACACACACATGTCATTGCCATTACTGCTATCTGCATCGGTGTATGCGTGTGTAGGGCATTTTCGTTAGTTTTGGTTAGTTTCAATTCAAATTCAAATTATTAATTTATAATATTTTAGTTTTTCTTTTTAAATTCTCTAATTTGTTCTTATTCCTAAATAAGTCGATTTGGGATTAATTGTATTGTTGTCTTTGTCTCTTGCGGTGTTTATGAGTTCCCCTGGTGTTTCGACCGGTCCATTGTCTAGCATTTCTAGCACATGATAGCTTTTTCCTACCCATTCCCGTCTGGGCTTCTATTTTTCCTTTTAGTATGAGCTGCAGTACGAAATATGTGTTGTCCTAAATAGGAGATGTTCCGCTTTTTAATGGTTCCAAATATTTCTCTCTCTTGCATCATATTAACTACTTCTTTATTTTGTATTTTATCGGTCCAGAGTATTTTCAGGAGACATCTTGTATGTCCACAGTACTTCTATTCTTCTATTCGATTTGTATTTCTGGTGTTCATGGTCCACGCCTCCACGCCATAGAGAAATACAGACCTACCAGGAGTAGCTGTAGTAGCTACTAAAATGCTGCACGAGCTATTTTTATTCTCGTTAGAATTTGCCACTTAGGGATCTAGACCTCATGCAGTCAGCAGCCAAGACATTGATACTTTTAAACTCGGACTATAAATCAGTTTTCTATGCTGAGTGTTGAGTTCTTATTCTCTCGAATAATGATCATGAATTAAGTTTTCTTTGAATTAATATTTAGCCCATATTGCTTTGCTGCATGGTAAATAAATTACTCAAAACGATCTTGCCTTGATAACACCATTTCATCAAGTTTCATTAAGTGATATACGACAACAATATTTTTGCTGTTGCTTTCACAACTTCCACGTAGTTGTTGTTATTGTCGCCCAGGAAATATTTTCCAATGTTCTCCGAGCGTTTTCTTTAATTTTCAATAACATTGTATTCGAAATCGTCAGAGAATAACAATTTCCCTATCATATGCATTTGTATAGGTTTTTAGGTGAACAAAAGAATCTGTAGCATGATTAATAGGCTTCTGCTTCTGCTCCTGTATTGTTAGCTTCTGCCGATGCTGACAATGCAAGAATTTTTGATGGCAAAATAAAAAAAAAAGATTAGACGAGACATTTAATATGCGCATGCGCGTGTGTCAGTTTAGATCTACCGTTTTTTCGACATCATTTTCGCAAAATGCACCCAGAACTCGTTAGATGTTTTGAGAGAAGGAGTTAAGTATATGGAAATAGCTCTTTGATGGATGAATCATTTTTTGTTCTTGTATTAAAATTATTATTTAGGTAACATTTGTAGCCTGTGAGACTTTTTATTTTCTTGATAGTGTTTGACACTATTGGGATTGTATTAGAGCAACTTAGTTGGATACCACCCTTTCATTTACATAAGAACATAAAGACTCTTTTATTAATATTATATTTATTATTATTATTATTATTATTATTATTATTATTACTATTATTATTTTTATTATTATTATTCAAATTTCTACGAAGATATCATTTCCGACCAAGGCCCATCAATTTTTGTCGCACTATTTCTTTCTACGTTTGTAAAATAAAATATCAGAAAATTTAAAGGCAAAATTTTATGTGATTCACCGAATTTTAAGTTTTTAATGTTTGTTTTGTATGTCACTTTCGCTCACCAATCGCTTCGCTATTCTCCTAATTTTTTAGTTAAAATCTGGAAACTCAAGATTAATGAGTGCTATTTCAATATTATATACTAATGTTAGAGTACCAAAACACCACTTTTAATGATTTTAACCATATTATTGTGTCGACACTAAAGAAAATAACCATAAAGCAAGCCGTCGGCGATAATCGTAAATCGTATAGTTTAAACTATTTTACTGCAGATATAAAATACAAGTCAAATATTTATTAACCTGTTTTTATCTATTTACAATTGCAAATGTATGCAAAGATATGTTAAACATTGAAAAACAGCCGAAATATTCGTCGGCCGTCATGCCATGAAAACTGTATCATCGTAACAATATGCAAATGATTAGGAATTTTTCGTTAAAAGGGAATATTTTTGTGTGCTGGTTTATTTATCTTGTTTTGGTGATGGAATGGCAATATATCAAAATGTAATACATATATTTAAGTCTAGTCATCACTATGTCAATTGAACGCAATTGCGTTATTATTTTTCAAAAAATAAAATATGTTAAAAAGAAGAAGAAACTCACGTTGTGTCTTTTGAATAACTTTAGAAATATAGCTCTGCAAAAGAACTACGGTTTAAAATCCTCAGATACACTAAGTTTAACTTATATACAATTTACAAATTTTCTGGAAACCAGTTTCAGTGAAGCTCTGAAGAAGCCAACAGAATGATTGGCGACACGTCAGCAAGTGTGGAAGTTTCTTTGAAAAATAGCAAAAATAAGATTTTATTTATGTTAATTTCAAATTAATTGCAAGTATTTCACGTTTACACCTTTGACTCAATCGATACATATGTCAATAAGGCCAATATACAAAGTGTTTCAAAAACATCCGTTGGAGATTCGTCATGCAAAATAAAGACAGAACTCGATACCGTTGTTACAAATAAATAAGGTCCGTATGTTTTTTTTGTATAAAATATTCAAATTTTTACTTCCCAATTGAATGTTTAAGTTAATTTGTTGAACTGCATATTTATTAAACATCTTAGGTGTATTTTCCGATGCCTCTTTGAAATTTGGTTTATATTACACTCAAAATGCTCAAATAAGTAATGAAAGTAAAGTTAAACCCTGACAGTTATTCTGATGGTTTGGTTTATTTTGCATTTGGATACTTATTAAGAAGGGTATCGGGTTAAAATAGTTTGCGGGTGATATAATTTGTGTTGTTATGCATGTTTGAATTAGACTGCACTTATTATATTATAAGGTGAAGTAGTTAATTGTCCAAAATCTTGTATTCTCTTGGTCATTAATTCCATACTCATAGGAATTAGACAAGGCGCGCACTAAAAAATCCCGACTATTTCTTTACGGTGTGTTTACAAAAAATATGTCATTGAATACATTAAAACGGCTGTGCCTCTCGCGCCCACGGCGATTGTTATAAACATTAGCAGAATGGAGTAGGATGTGTTTCTCTCGTCGCACTGCATCATTTCTTCTCGTTGACTCAGGCGGATTGTTTTTCAAGGTAGTATAAAATTCCGTTTGATAATTCATTTGGATTTTATTCATAAATTGGAGCCATCAAACGGTCAATTAATTAAATTATTAACAAAATTTGTTTTTGCGTATTGATTTTTGCGATTGCGGTGGTTCTAACGTTGCGTTTTATGTCATATTTAATGCCATATGATAATATAAAAATAATATAAATATAAAAGCGAATTAAACATATAAATTTCCAGCGTTAAATTCTAGTCGCTAATGCACCTATCGGTTTCCGAATGAATTATATGTTACACCTCTTCTATGAAATCAATATACGTAGTCCCCCTTCTAGTCGCTAGGTGGCACCACAGCTTTAAAGCAGAGCCAAAAAACTGTGGAATAACTTACCATGGACGGTATATTCGCCATCTATGGTCTTAACCTCATTCCTCTTTTTGTGCTTTGGTGGCACATGTTCATTTTTATTCGGCGTCGGTGTTTTCAGCTTTTTTCAGCGTTTTTGGAAGTTAAATGGAGAAGTACAAGTGAGATTTACGTTATTCCTTATCGGATGAAGAAAGAACCTACCTACGACGAAAGATTAAATCTTTCCATCCGCGATTACATAATCGCTAGTGGCGTGGTTCCCATCAACGAGATTTTCTTACAATTGGGAGACGATTTCTTCATCGTCCGGGTTCCGATCGGAATCCCCAGAACTCGAAAGACCCCCCATCTTTCCCACTTATACGACAGCAGTCGTATGTAAGTGTTTCGCAATTGGAAGCAATCCTTTTGTGAGGGGGTCGGCCATACATATGGTTTTATATTTTTTCGACATCGAAAAAATAGAGTTTTCTGGCTCGTCCGGCTATGGATGAGGCGCCCGGGATACTGGGACATAATGAACAATTTTTTATGGCTGTTGGAATGCATTTACTCCATCGTAAGTATATTTTTTAGGCCCTTCAATTAATTCTGATGTCATTGTTGAGCCCCTTGAGACGGATTTAAAGCAAAATGGCCTTTAAGCTATGGGGTCGATAGTCCCAACACAAAGTTTGATGTGTCATGACATTTTGGCAAGTCAGATTAATACCTTTTTGAAATCCGGTGTGTCCGAAGATTGTCTCAGTAACCTTTTGCGTTGATATCCTGTGCCGAAGAATTGCCCGCTCAATAACTCTCCTAAATCGAATGTGCAGATGAAATCTGCCATCAACAAAGGTGGAAAGAAAAGGGATGAGAGACTGACTGCAACAAGGGGTGCTTTGATGGTGGTTGGTAGGACGCTCTTGACCTTGCTTTTGAAACCGGTTAAGGATGAGTAGTACTTACTTCTCATCGAAATGTTGAGTAATGCAATATTTGTTTTAAGCAAAATACACCATTTAGGTTCAGTATATAGAAGTTCAGCCGCGTTAAGCCTTTCGCTGGTCTCAAATGAAATGCAGCCTTGTATGAAGGAAGTGCTCGTTGATGCTTCTTTGCACTCTTGTTTATATGGAGAAGATTTGGCTGATAGGCTCAAATCAATCAGATTAGCTGCAGATTAGTGGCCGAGTTAAAGTCAGGTGCATCCGGAACAAGGCTTTTATAGCATACAAATTTAAACTCGACCGTCCCACTTCGTTCCCGGAAGTTGCAAGGCTGAAGTGGGTGAAAGTCATTGTACCCTCAAAAGAGGGAATACAGGAAGGTTCGAGAGGAAAGGGGGTGGAGTTGTGTCCCCAGGAAAAAATAGTAAGTACTTTTGTTGAAAGATTGCACTAGTTTCGGGACATTTGGAACTCTAGAACTCAAGATGCACAGATTCTACCTTGGTTAGATGGATATAAAATTCCATTTGCGAGGCCAGTTATACAGGACTTGATTACGACAGATCCTGTTTGGTCCCAACAAGAAAAAGATTCAATTTGTAATGTGGTCAAACACCTGTTAGAGATAGGTGCAATTGCAGTTTGCGAACCTTGAAAGAATCAATTTATTTTACAGATCTTTTTGGTTTCAAAATTGGATGGTTCGGTTTGATTAGTTTTAAATTTAAAGAAACTGAATGCTTTTATTGACACTTGTCATTTTAAACTGGAAGACAGAAAATTAGTAGAAACACTCTTCACAAGGAAGTCCTTTATGACCACTCTGGACTTGAAAGAAGCTTACTTTCTAGTCCCAATAATTGAAAATCTAAAGAATTTTCTAAGATTTTATTTTGATGCTCTCTGTTGTCAGTTTAACGTGTTACCCTTTGGTTTATGCACCGCCCCGTGGGCCTTTACAGAATTAATGATATCTGTGGTTTCTTATCTCCCTGCCAAGGCTTTTCCCTCAATAGTTTATTTAGATAACTTTACTATTTGGTGATAGTTAGCTATCCTTAAAAAATGTTCAAGTAACTTGCAACACGCTGATTAGGTTGGGTTATGTTATTAATTATAAGAATGTTTTACATCCTTCGAAATCCAGTAAATTTTTAGGTTTTGTTTTTTTGAATCCCACCACTTGTTTTTCTGATGAGTAAGTAAGTTTTGCAATTTGAACCGTTGCGAAATAAGAGTCTTTGCCGAGCTTTGTGCTGTGCTAGTTTTCAGTTTGCCCAGCAGTTTGTTACAGTTGGGTATATACTAAGAATTTTTGAGAGAATCAAGACTCTAATTATGATATTTGGATGATAATTCCTTGTAATTTACGGAGGGATTTTATGTGATGGCTAAAAAGTTTACAGAATCCTGAATGCCCTGTAAGGCAGCAATGTTACAAACTTGAGATTTTCTCAGATGGTACTCCTTTGGGTTGGGGAATTGTGCCAGAGGACTTTGGAGTCCTAGGGAAGCTCAGTTTCATATTAATGCACTAGAATTAACTGCGGCCTCATTTGGTCTCTAATGCTTCGCCTCGTATTTGACTAACTGCGAGACACTTTTGAGGATTGATAACACAACTGCTATTTTGTATGAAAATAGAATAGGGTGAGTAAAATTTCCTGTTTTAAACGAAATTTCGAGGTGCCTTGGGGTTGGTGTGAAGAAAGGAGGTTATGGGTTAAAGCATCTTACATTCGATCTTCCGATAATTTTGAAGCGGATAAGGAACCCACGAATTTGAATTTTGATGGTGAATGGTACCTTTCGGACAATGCTTTTGCTAAAATAACAAGCAAATTTGGATTCCCATAAATCGAATTGTTTGCTTCTCGCCTAAGTAAGAAATGCGGAAAGTTTATTTCCTAATTTCCAGATCCGTAGGCATCTAATGAAGACGCGTTTACTGTTTTTTGGAGCGACAGTTTCTTCTATGTTTTCCCCCCGTTTTGCTTGTTGCCACTTGTTTTACGAAAAATCAAGGCTTATTGAGCTACAGGGATCGCAGTAATCCCTTACGGGCACAGCCAGCAATGGTTTGCTTTTTTTTCATGGGAGGCGTTGTAGTTATTTATTGTTTCTAATTCCAGACAAATTACCTTCTCCTTTTGACAGGAGAGGTCATCCTGGCTGCAGGGATTTTGTCAGGCAAGCATTCCAGAAGATTTGCTGGATATTTTTCTATCATCTGTTCAGAGCGCTACCTTGAGGCATTTAATACCTGCATGCATTTAAACTTTGGTGGAGCTTCTACGAAAGGAGGGGAGTGGAGTGTTATTACTTCTCACCTAGGCTGTATTAGATTTCCTTACTATTCATTTTAGGCAAGGCAAGTCCTATGGCTCATTGAGTTCTTTCAGTGCAGCACGGCCTTATTTTTGGATCAGATTTATTTAACAATGCAAATCTAACTAGGTTTTTTAAGGTGTTTATAATCTAAGGCCAAGTAAACCAAGATATAACAGCACTTGGGGCCCTAGTTATGTCCCTGACTTTGTAAAAGGGTTACGTTCTAATGACTTGTCATTAAAGCAATTAACTGTCATTAAAACAATTAAATTAGTTTCTCCTACTGAAGTTAACGATTGTACATAGAGTCCCAACGCTCTCTCTTATAGAATTGGTCAACATAAAATCATTTCCAGATGGATTAGAAATTAGAATAACGAATCAAATTAAGATTTCAGCTATAAATAAGACTCGACCTGTTTTTTAATTTTGCATAAATATGAAGATGTAAATCTTTGTGTGGTTTCAAATATATTATTGAGAGGGCCAGTGCTTTAAGAGGCAGTGAATCTCGTTTACTCATTACATTTAAAAAGCCTTGTAGGGCAGCAACTATACCCAACAAAAGTAGATGAATAAAGATAACTTTAGAAGATAGTGGTGTCTACACCTTTAGTTTTACTGTTCACAGAACTCGACATGCCTCAACATCGTCTGCGTTTTGTAAAGGTGTTTCAATTGATATGATTGGAAAAACGGCAGATTGGTGAGAATACTCTAAATGTTTTCCCCTTTTTTATAATAGACCTATTTGTACAGCAAGTGCAGGCCTTTTTGTTAATGCCACATTTGGGACATAGAATTTTTCAGAAGGTTTGTTTTCTCGGATAGCCATTTATTTTGTATTTGTACTCGAGGCTTTCATAAACTTCCTGGATTTCCTTATATAGCCGAATAAAATCGTTTTATAACAAATTTGCTGAGTTGCCTTTGAAAGTCTACGTATATTGATTTCATAGAAGAGGTGTAACATATAATTCAATGATCAAACGAACTTACCTGGTAAGTGAAGTTCGATCGTAATTATATGTTACACCTCTTCGTAGAAATCACCCATTCCCGCCCAATTTACTGTTCTGAACAGTACTAAAATGCCCTTTGGCAAATTTATTATAAACGGGCTTTAAAATAGAATGAGGTTAAGACCATAGATGGCGAATATACCGTCCATGGTAAGTTATTCCACAGTTTTTTGGCTCTGCTTTAAAGCTGTGGTGCCACCTAGCGACTAGAAGGGGGACTACGTATATTGATTTCTACGAAGAGGTGTAACATATAATTACGATCGAACTTCACTTACCAGGTAAGTTCGTTTGATCATTGAATAATCGCCCAGAAACCGCAGTAGGTAAAACATCGCTTTATGACTGGGAAAAATTTCCCAGTAAATGCGGGAACCCCTAATTATACGTTAGGTTTTTTGTTTTCAGTAGCGATTTATTATTTTTATTTACATTCGCGGATTGAACTTGTTTCAAAAATCAGAAAGATTATAAAACTATCGTTACTTTTTAAATTCCGAGATTTTTGTATAAATGGAAACGGTATATCAACCTGCCATAAAACAATTTTCTCCACTGACAGTAGTAGATTAAGCCGAAGATAAATATTGTTTATAATTATTGCATATTACTCGACTTGTAGCTTGTCTCGCGCAACGTAAAAAAACGTATTTAGTAGACACGACTCCTATTATATTTATGATGTATAAGATCAAGGTCTTGCCATTGAAAATAAGCGTTTTGTGTTAGGAATTTTTAACGGAAAAACTTTCGAACATGTAATTTTATCTCTTCTGTGAAAAACTGCTGCAATTTTATCCGATTCTTTGGAAAACGTATTGCGCAGCGAAACAAGTTAATAAGTGTTCTAGCTAAAAAAAAATTGTATTAAACCTGACATAAAAAACGCTCAAAAAAATTATATCAAGAGAGTTTTAATTTACGTACAAAAGTGACCACACGAATCACGTTTCAAACGGTTGTTCTATTTCAAAAAGTTTATTTTCTTCAATAGTATATTTTTACGTGTTATTTTGGTAACATTTTTTAGAAAATTGCTTCTGTAAAATAAGATTAAAAAAAACAACATTCCTTAGGAGATAACGAAGTGGTACCATTATCTTGCGTGTTTTAAAGAACGGCTAACAAATCTGATAGAAGCATTGAATCTCAGTTCATAACAGAAAACAAAAACAAATGCGCGATAGACTACTGCCCGAATGGTAAATGCTTCTGTACCAGTTTGTTACTTTCCTCACCAAACCCAATCTTTCAAATGAAAACGTCTAGTCGAGTGATTAAAACTTTTCGCTGCATGTTGTTGAACTATTGCGTCTACTACAGTCTTACCACTGAAGAAGCTTACCACTCGTGATAGCGAAACGTTAGGATGATTCAAAAAGATTGAAAAATTTGAAATTTTACTATTCGTTTTTTCCAAGATATTTTCCGAAGCGTTAAACAAGCAGGCTTTGAACTATCCAAAAACAATTACATCGCGGGGTAAACATCTCCATGCTAACCGTAACCAGTTTCCGAATATGTGCAATCGTGTTACGCCTCAGCAGAAATATTTAAAAAACTGTCCAAGTTCTGCTTCCTGTTTTGTGGTCATGATAAATACCTTTATTCAATGAATGAACTTAATAGAAATAAGTTATTTGGATTCCACGTCACTGTTATTTAATTGAATCTGAGTTCTTCTTCTATTACCTAAAGTAAATTCTTTAATTTTGCGTAGACGTATCTCAAGAATCGAGAGAAACGGTATCACAGTTTTTTTTTTTTTTAATAAATGCTCATTGTCTCATATACCTTCCTAAAAAATAAAATTCTGTCTATCTCTTCTTCTATCTCTAGGTTTTTTTTCTCCTCTCAGTTTCAGGGCGAGTTTTTGATTTATAGATTTCTCCACATTGGCAAAAATTATAAAAATTATATGCTCGACAAAAATATATTAAGGCCTTGTTAACGGTATATGGCATTTCCTCACTTCATTATGTGTTTAGAATGTTTTCTTAAAATTAGTTATTAAAGAAGAAAAAACAAGAATTCAAATTCAAAATTCAAATTATATCAAAAACTTATTTTCATTTATTTTACAAGTTTTAGCTAGTGAACTTAGTATTAGACATGATGATTTTAAAACCTATTTGACAGAAACTGCTCGTTGGTACAAAATGCCAGTAACTCTCCATAAAATATTGATACACGGAAAAGAAATCGTGAAGTCCAGTGCCAATCGCCAATAAAGAGTACCGAAGATACAGCAGGCTTGCAACAAATCTGGATGTATTTCATAATTTTTTACTTTCGTCCTATCCAAAAATCGCAACTTTATGCAAAATCAAAGCTTTCAAAGAAAATATTAAAATTCTTAGGGAATCAGACCAATACCAAGACCATATTAAGTGTTGATTTAAAATTAAACTTGTTATATTGTTATTATGATTATTAAATTGAAGTTGGTACTGCTTAATTTTATTTTGAAATATTTCCTGTTTTTTTTTTAATCGGTTCCTTCAAAAACTACAGATTTGCCATTATCTCAGAATAAAGAATACAAGGTGATAAAGCCAGATAATTTAATTTCGGTGAAAATATTTATCGTAAAATGAATTTTAGATAGTTTGACTTTTAATTGCTGTATCACATGATTTCCAACAAAAAATAGCCTTTAAATAATTTTTCAAATTTTTGTTCATTCTGGCCCACTGTGTGACGGCCTCGAATCAGGACAACAATTCTAGTACGCTTAGTTGTTCGGTGCATTTGCATGCTTCTGTAAGAATTCTAGAACAAACGCATTGGGCAATCACAAAACGAAGGTTCAAGTTTTCGTCTCGAATATTATAATAGCAGGAGAACAGCTTCGCAGCTTGAGTTATTTGAGTTTGACTTAAAATCATCTTACTTCTTTCTTTAGAAAATGGAGAATAGAGTTCATTTATTTTGGATTTAAATTCTAGCAACGTTGTGTCCAATTGGGATAAACAGTGAGCGATCTTCTTGATTGGGTTTTGATAATTTTGCGGCAGATCTACTAAACGGTTTCCTAATACATTTGGTCATTTAACAACTCAAATTCAAGACATATAGAACAAAAAAGATGGTAACAAAAATTCATTGACTCATATTGCGACCTCCTGATCAAACTCACACACTCACGAAACTTCAATAGTATGTATTACACCTGATATTAAAAAAAAAATGAAATGTAAATATCACACTGAATTCACATATTTTCGAAGTCGGCAATTCTAACAAGGTCGTGGTGGGTTCATTTTTCGTTTAGTGCGGTAGTTTTTTTGCGACGCCTGCGCGAATTTGCCGGATCTCCACAGTGTTAATTGGTCGTTTCAACAATTTGCGCAACAAATTCATCCTCTTAATCTGTTTATTTATAGTTTTATCGAAATCCCATATTTTTCATTATAAAACCCGTACAGAAAAAAAAAACAGTCACGGTCAATCTGTTAAGATTATTATTATTGCAAAGATTTCTCTGAACGTTTCTAATATTACGAAAACACGTCTATAAATTGTGCACGTGTTTTCGTAACTATACTTGTAGCTTATACAGGAAAGATCGGTTGATATCCGAAGGTAACAGTAACCATTAATTGATAGTGTAAAATTATTGGTTTTGTCCGACCATTAACGTTTTTACGATGTGGATGATCGTCAGCGTTTCTGAATCTGAAGTTATGGTTAAGATTAAAATGAAAGGTTTGGAGGAAACTCAAATCTGAAGACGGCCTAACAGCCCCTTCATTTAATTTGCCGATCGCTGATATGCAGATTTTGTCTGGTCATTAACAAATTGCCGACAAGAGAATAGTTGACATTTGAAATTATGCTTTATAGCCAATAACGATTGCTTTTTACTTGTTTGAGAAGTAAAATAAACGCGAATTCTAGACATACAGATGAAGAAATGTCGCTTTTCTATTTTGTAGAACTTCTTTCCGGTTCAAATGGTACACGTGAGAAACAAAATTAAATAAACAACTAATTAGTGTGGATCGTGTAAGATCAAAAAGATCAAGTAAATTAAAAAAATAAATAAGGTCTTCACTAATTATTCTTCAAAAAAATTACACACTTAACATGTAAAGAATGAGATTTATGTGGGTTTTCAAATAGCTTTTGATCTACACTGATATGACATAACAACTGATAGAGACTCAAGAATATTGGCATGGATGACAAGTACAACGGCAATCAATGAGTAAGACAAGATTGCATGTTGAAGCATCTAGTTTTTAATATTACCTCAGAGGGAGATCTAGTCTACAAATGAAACAAAAGTTGGCATAATAAACTACGACTGGTCTTGGCTTTAATATCAAAAACATGAAAATGTTAGCGATTATATTTATTGTGTATTGTATATATATGAATTTAGGCCACGTAGATTTCAAACCGGCATTACATTTTGACATAGCTATTGAGCTTGAAATTTCCGAATTACTGAACTCGATTACAGTTAACATTATCTAGAAAACTCGCCCTGTTGCCAAGTTATAGTAGAAAACGGAGAATATGTTATTTTTAGCGATAAAGCTTTACTGAAATTGCTTTATTAGATCAATAATACTACACTTAAAAATATAATTTACATCGAGGTATCTTATTTATTTATCAAGCAAAGTTAATCGAAAGTTAACTTACTCACGAAGAATTTCATGTCTAACATAATGGTTAGCGTCACTGCAAAAGGATGCACAACATTTTACGACTTCATTAATTTTAACTGCTGTAGGTATTCTACTGGTGGTCGACACGTTCAGCTGAAACAGCTCACTTCTCTAACCACAGCTATGAGCCATATAGATGTCGTTTAAATACGTGAAAAATACCCACCAACGAATCAAATAGCAAAAACAAATAAAAACTGGTTATCAAAGGTTGAATATACTATATACAAAATGTTTTAAAATTGCCTATATTTATTGATTTACGTGATATGTCCAATCTGATCTGTCTAACGTACTGTTTCAAAAATAGAAAACAATAGGAATAATAAACGAATATGTTTTATTTCAATTAGTGAATATATTTTTGTTCGAATGTCATGAAATTTAGTAGTCTGAAGTTCTGATAAGGTACTGAGGATTTAATTTTGGAAATATATGACCAAAAGGAGATACTATTTGCTAGGATCAATCTTTAAACAATCGCTTAAGTGGAAATTGGATAGCGAGCTGTAAGACTGTTTCGTAAAAGCATGCAACCCTTACTGAGGTACAAATTCTTCACACATCTTCACGAAATTTCACAACTATCTCCGGAA